AAAGGTGACTCATTGAGAAGCTGCCTGTCATAGAGAAGCTGGCTCTCCGTCCCTGAGAAGTCAGCTGTCAGTCACAAAAACAGGTCACTGAGAACGTGCCTGTGTTCTCTCTGTTCCTCGGCAGTGCATGCTTTCCCCTTGGTTGCCTTTGCATTTTGTTTGTTTAAACATTTTTCATTACATTATTTGTGTGTGTGTGTTTGTGGTGTGTGTGTGCATATGTTAGGGCAAGCACTGTGGAGGTCAAAGGACAACTTGTAGGAGCCAGTCTCCCCTTCCGCCTCGTGGGTCCCCAGGTTTCGTGGCAACCTCCTTTGCCCACGGGCACATCTCCCCAGTCCTGCCACAGCATTTTCGATCAGTGCCTTTCAGAATCTGCTAGCATGTCCCTGGCTGTGTTTCTGGATTTGGTGTTTACTGGGCTTCTTGCATGTCTGTTTACAGATCTGGGAAAATTATGGCTATTATCTTGTCAAATACTTTTCTGCTTCCAACAGGCTCTCTGACCATGTCCCTCGGGTGGCTTGCTTCCTCTGTATTTTCTGCCTGTGCTTGCTGGGACTGCACAACTGACCTCCAGATTCACCTGTTTCTTCTCCTCCTGGGAGGGGCCCGTTGCTCCGCAAGGCAGGCCAACTGTTCCAGGCCTTTCCATCAAGGAGAGGAAAGGCTTCTTGTTTGCTACAGTCCTGATACGAATTTAGCTTCTGGGTCTTCCTGCCAGCAATAGGACCTCCAGGTCACCTCTGTGACATGGTGAGAGACCTATCTATGACTACCCACCTGTTCACTCGTAGAGACAGAACTTAGTTCACTCAACACAGCCTGAATAGGGCTAGGCTCTGACACTGGAGGTAGATCTGCAATACTGGGCTACTCTCCTTGCAGACATGATGGTGCCTTGAGTGAAGACCAGCGTACCAGCCAACCACGGCCAGAATCTTGTTCACAAGATCTGGTGACAGCCGGTGGCTGTCAATGTTATAAACAGGCTTTTCCCCTTCTCCAAGTCCTTCTCCATGGTAGTCCTGCCCATGGCCTCGGGTGCAACCAAGTGGTCACTCTGCCCAGTGAGGCAGGGGCAGGACTGACCAATACCAACATCAGTGTGGACTGTTGTTGCTCTGCTGTCTCTGGAGCAGCCTGGGACCCAGTGACAGTGGACAGAGCCATGGCCACTGGCCTGTCCTAGATGAGAACTGAATCTACCTTGCTGACCCTGACTCAGTGTGGCTCATATTTGTTACTGTGTAATGTGGCCTGGACAGACCGGCCCTTCCCAAAGTTCTGCTTCTACCTGGGACCACAAGACACCTGCTACACTGATTAAGTAACTAACCATCAGTCCCAGGGCCGCCTCCCTCCTGAGTTAATGGGACAAGAGAAATGTGACTGCATTGGATGGGATGGTTAGTCCTAAGATGGGAAAGGGCCACTGTCACAAGATTGGACGGGATGGATAGAAAGGGCTGCCACTACTGCCTTGGGAGCCCAGTGGCTCTCTGGGTGCTTCTGGGTCCTGTCATGAATAACACTGGGCGAACAAAAGGAAGACATCAGTTTTAGAGAACACTGGCTTGAATCCTCTCATGAAATGGAGAACCCAGACAACCCTGGGTGCTGGCACACCTGGGGCCAGGGAAGTGTAGAACAGGTACTAGAAGTTGTGAACCTGCATTGCCATCACATGGCACGACAGAGACAAGAACAGGGCAGCCCGTTGCTTGACTCGGTGTGTGCATGGAAGCTTGATGCATTCAGATGAGTGTGTGTGTGCATGCGAGTGAGCTTGCACATTAGCTGGTTAACCGGTTACTCTTTCCACTTCTCAGGATCCCCCATTTTATGCAGAGGACATTGGCAGGGGGACCGGTGAACCCTGCAACTTGGTTTTTCCCTAAGAAAATGTTCAGATGGGCTGGTGACCAAAAGGGCTCAGCTCATCCTGAGGTGGAGGCCAGGCTGGTAGGCCTCATTTCCTGCTAGAAAGTTGTGTTTACAGGCATAACTCATGCATCATGCAGGAGAAAACGAGAATTTAACATACTCTGCAAAGATGGAGTGGGTCATGGTGGCTAACAACCGCCTGGAACTACACTTCAACAGGATCTGACACCCTCTCTGGCCTCCATGGGCACTGCAAGCATGTGCTGCACTTACATACATGCGGGCACAACACTCATACATTAAAAAACAAACAAAAAACTTTAAAAAAGGATAGTGGTGGGTGTGGGTGGACTCCAAGTGGCTGGTGTGGGACAGGACCGGCTCTCCCCACCCTGGTTCACACTGAATCTCCACGACAGACAGCTTTCTCAACGCTTTGAGTGGCTTCATTTCCCGCTTGGTGGGTTCCAACTCCAGGTGTGGCGGAGCTGGAGGCTCAGAGCAGCAGAGACACCTCCTGATGACAAGGACAGGGCCCCAACACTGAGCCCGCTCTTCATCTGGTTGCTGTGGTACATGTGTGCATATGCTAACACATATCCATACCACTCCCTGTGCCCAGCCTGTGCCTGGAGCTGCAACAGCTCCTGTGGTGTTGAACCACCTGACTGTGGCTAACAACTTCCCAGGCCAGCTCTGCATGGGAGGCACAGAGCTCATACCTTAGTTTGAACCCTTCCTTTAAAATAACTTAAACATATTCAATTAGTTTCAAAGGTTATAGTCATTAAAAGAATGATAAACATAAAATGAAGATGGCTGGAGTAAGATCGGGTGGGACCCTCACTGTATGGGGTCCAGCCACACACACCTCCGACTGACTTCCCGGACATCAGTGTCATTTGATCCCTGAAGCCAATGGCAACATTGCCTTGATTTTCATATGTACTCTGTGTGTGCAAGTGTATGTGTACATGTGCAGGAGTGCATGCACGTGGAGACTGGATGACCTCAGACCTCCTTCCTCGGGTGCTACTTCCTGTGGTTTTGAGAGTCTCCCACTGGCCTGGAACTTGCTGAGTAGGCTAGGCTGGCCAGTGAGCCGCAGGGACCTGCCCATCTCCACCTCCCCAGCCCAGACTGTTTACTTGGCTGGACATGTACACAAAAGCCTACGTGAATACAAGTGTCTTTATGATAGTTGGCATTTTTTTTGTTGGGTTCTGGGAACTGAATTAGGCCTCATGCTTGTGCAGAGGCACTTTACCCACTGAGCCATCCCCTCAGCACTTTATACACTTTCTGAGGGCTACATCTCTCACTGGTTTCACAGGACAGATATGTTTGATGAATGTGTTTACAATACATATGTGGGGCTAGAGAGATGGCTCAGCAGCTAAGAGCACTGACTGATCTTGCAGAGGACACAGGTTTGACTCCCAGCACCTACATGGCAGCTAACAACTGTCTGTAACTCCAGTTCCAGGGGATCTGACACTCTCTCCTGACCGCTGAGGGCACTGCATGAAATGCGTGTGCTTACATGCATGCAGGCAATACATACACATAAAAATTGGGCAACCACATGCAAACAGACGTACCCATGTGATCTGTGCCATAGCAAAGCTCTAGGCTCCCACACCTTCAAGGGGACCTTCCAAGGCTGCCAGGAAGGACAAGCTCATCTTGATGGGCTCTCCTACCAGACTAAGAAATGTTTATTGTCTTTCTGCTACACAAGGCACATGACAAAACACTACCAAGCCCGTAAGACTTTACGTCGTATTTATTCCACTGAAAACCTAAAGACCGCACCCCAAAGGATCCCACGGGAGGGGTGGGTGCCGTCCCTGCCCGCTATGTACATTCACAGTTCTGAGGTGCGGACTGAGGTCACTAGCAAGGGGAGAGAAATCAGGAGGAAGGAACATCCGCCCCATCTCAGGTCTGCTCTCAGGGATCTCAACAAGCCCAAGGGCATTCCACAGGAACCCGTCACCGGCAGACCACGCTCGGACATCTTAGTTCCGGGGCCTCCTTCACTGGCTTTCTGGCAGCTTTTCTCTTCTGAAAACAGGTATAGACTCTACAGTTATACAAACCAACCCGTCAGCTACCGAGGTCGCTTTCACATCTCTTCCACGTCTAACAAACCCAGAAACCTCCCTGCTGCCTGTGCCCGCCTGTCCCGCGGCAGTGTGGTGCTGGGTGACTGAGGTTGAGGGTTTTGTTTTTGCATGTGTCTTCGGGGAGAACACACACTATGACTCTGAGAAAGTTAGTAAACGTGTTCCTGCACTTCCCGGCTTGGTGGTTATCTTCTACAGCAATGTCTCGAATGTAAAATCTAATTTAGCTTAGAAGTAAAAAAATGAAACTCCAAAGAAACCCAGATGCCAAGGAAAAAACTAAACCTACAGTCCCCATTGTGCTTTAAGGATGGGCTTCTGTCATTAAAAAAGGTGAAACCAGGTGATGTCACAGGTGACAGCCTGGACTCTGCTCTTCCTTTTCTGACCTTGGGAGGCCTGTCCCATGTGGCTGTTACCCTCCACTCCTGAGACCTTCCATAGGGGATGGCTGGCTGTGCTCAGAGGGTGGCTGTTCTGCCTAAGTCACCAAGAGGAAGAGGCTGTAGGTGTTGGACAGTCTGCTCAGAGACCCAGGGTAACAGCACAAAGGCCAGTGCACGCCCTGCAGTGCTCTCCCTCTGCCCAATCCGCTTCACCCGTGTTCAATGCTTGGACTGAAGCTAAATGAAGTAGGTCTCGTTATACTGAAACTGAAATACCAAACTGGCAATGTCTATAAAAAAGATGGGTTTAGAAAGGCTTAAAGAGAGCAGAAAAGGGTCCTGGGGCCAGTCTTTGTAGCCAAACACCCCATGGGCCCAAATGGCAGGGCAGAAAGGCCCTTGAAACTGCGGCCATCCCAGACAGCCTCAGAATCTATCAAAGACAGGCCCGTAAATAAATATCCTGATGTTAACAGGAAAAATGAAGTAGAAAACCAATTTTCTCTTTTTAAAAAAAGGTTGAATGTTTTCCAAAGTACCTAAGTGAAGTTTATAAAATAGTCATGAGCTCCTGAACACACACAGAGACACTTAAAACCAGATGATGCCCTGCCATGCTGTGAGCCAGAGGGCACAGAGGCGCTGGATCAAGACGAGGTGACTGTTCTGCAGTAGGGGTGGGTGTCACGTGTACAGTAGCCTCACCCTGTGCTCGTCCTGCGGATGGACACAGGGCAAAGACCAACATAAATTCAAGACCAGCAACTCTGGGTGAGCACACAACCGTGCCAGTGCCCACCCAGCCTGTGGAGTCCTGCCCCACAGGGAGGCCCTGAGCACCCACCTGCCCGCCTGCCAGCAATGGGCAGGTGGGATACACATACAGCTTTCCTGCAAACACCCAGCTGGGCCCTGAGACGTCACAGAAAACAACAGACACACCCAAGTCTCCTGGACCTCAGGCCTGAAGATACAGAGAGAGCACGGGAGGACAGGGAAACGCAAACTGCACTTGTAACACGCAAATGGGCTCCAGGCCACTGAGGCAGGTAGTGATGCAGGAGGGGCCTTGTCCCTCTGGAATTTTCCATTCTAGTCCACTTTCTTACAAAAATTCTTCCTCCCAAAGTCTGAGTTTTCAGGGCTGAAGTCAGTACAGAAACCGTTGGGGGTTGGCGCTGGGGGGGGTTGTGTACAGCTGTCGAAATGTGTCTGATCAGGATATAGATAGTCCTCTGCGAAGTCAGGGTGCATTTCTGCAAACCCACAGAAGTCAGCTGTGAAAACAAAGACACTGTGGTTATTAGGACTGAGGAAAGCCTAGGGCTTGGGGATCTTTCTCTGGGCCCTGGGAGTTTCTCTTCTACCCTTCTGGGGGTAAAGAATCTACACTGGGGCACTGGATGGTGAAGAGCGAACTTGTGCCTCAGTTTCTCTGCTCTTACTAAGCTGCTCTGAACAAAGGAACTGTCTCAGCTACTCTCACTTTCAAAAACTACGACGATGACATGAATTTGAGCCCCACAGAAACACACCTATGAGGACTGTGGCTTGTGCGTGGGCCTAGGGCCAAAGCTGGGCCTGGGTAGGCACCTGATACTCAGAGGGAGGCACTGCTACTGCCCTCTGCACACTGGGGACCAGGCAAGGCTGGAGGGCCATCGCCACAGACCCTCCAAGGGTGCATTTTCCCAGGTCCAGGCCTATGATGGAGGACAATATGCTGACTCCTACTCACAACACCACAGAGTTGGGGGTATCGAAAGATGGTGCTGGATGCTATCAACTGCGCAGTTTATGAAAATAGTTTTCAATCCTCATGAGAAACACAAACAGGTAAGCTGGTTAAGCGGCACTGCCCTGCTCATAAAGCCCAAGCACGCCATGGAGCACCACGCTGGAGTTAAACATGCTCATAGCTACTAAGCACACACGCTTGGACACAGTCTCACATGTACATGTACATCGACACTTACATAGTCACACGTGAATGTACAGACACCGATTTATGCCTCACACTTTCACACGCACACACCCAATGTGGCATTAAATGCAATTAAAAACTTATAGTACAACCAATGTGAATGATGGTCCTTTTAGAGATTTCTTGGCCTCCCCCTGAGCAAATGTACCTCTTTGTTTTTTAGCAACAACACACATCACTTTAGAAACAAATGGGCTGCCATCCCTGGGACTCTGTGGTGTGGCCCCTGGCCCCCAAGGACTCTGGCTGCCACACCTGGTTCTGGGTCCCCTCCGCACAGAGAAGGGTCTTCCTGAGACTTGGTTGTGGGCGCATGCCCTACCTGGGGCATGTGTGCTGTGCTCCCACAGACTTCCCCACGTACTCTAAGGCATCCCTTGCAGATGGCACTTCTGCACTCATTTTAAGCCACAAGAGAATGGGGCTGAAGGGATAGCCCAGCGGTTAAGAGCATTGACTGCTATTGCGGAAGACCCAGGTTCAATTCCCAGCACCCACCTGGAGGCTAACAACCATCTGTGACTTCAGTTCCAAGGGGTCCAATGCCCCCTTCTTCTGTGGGCACTGCATGACATGGGGGCACCTACCTATGGGCAGGCAATAGTCATACACATAAAAAATTAAAAATGATAAAATACTTTTTAAAAAGACACAAGAGAACAGCTCCGGAGTCCACGGTGTGGTCAAAAGTGGGGAGCTCAGCCGAGAGCCCCAAATGGAGACATTTTCACACTTGGAAGGTGGAACCGACTTGCAGTCAGGTTATTTTAAAGCTCTGACCTGGCCATTTCTTGGAATTCAGCATGTTAAGGAGCTGTGCTGATGGTCCCATTACCACTCTCTAGTCAGATGTCCCAGAAGGGTGAGTTTCCCAAGATAAGACACCACATCTACACAGGTACCATGACTGGGGCCAGGCCTGAAACAGGGCTGTGGGTGCTGACGTCATAGCTGAGGCCTTCAGGAGGGCAGTTCTCACGGCAAGTTGGCCAAAGGGGCTGAGTGTGGGTGTCCTCCTTCTCACAGGGGACCCTGGCTAGGTCCTCCACAGCTGCCGGAGCTCTGACCCAGAAGCCGGTTTAACAAATCACAGGAAGAAACTGGATCCACCATCAACATACCTTGCTGTGTTCCTGAAGAACTGTCTTCAGAGGGGCCAATAGTATGGGGCGCAGTTAGGGCAAGAGCTCCATTCACGTCCCCAGGCTTCCGGGGCTATCCTTCCTTGCTCACCTACACCACAACCCTGGTGACACCAACATCTGCTAGGGTGTGTGTGTGACCCCACTCTGTTCCACTTACTGAATGTGATTCTCCCTTTCCCCTCTTGGTCGATGGCCTCGAACAAGTCAGTCACAGTTAGTTCTGCCACCCCGAGTGCTGTCTTGAGGATGCAGGACAGGTTGGCTTCATCTATGCTGCCGTCCTCTAGCGACCCATACATCTGCAAAGGACAGGGAACTATCACCCAGAGGCCTTTCCTGGTCTTGTCTGGGCCTGGTGTTTGTCCCAGTGGCCCTGACCTCCCAATACTACAAGAGCCTGCACCCATGAGCAGGCGGTGCTGACAGGTGGGTGCTGAAGTCCTAGACAGAACTGTGCCTTAGAGCCTTTGTGTCTCCACCAGACCCTTTGGGACACTCATGGACATTCAAATCTGTCTAGGCTGAGACTTGGATGCTGTTGTTAACTGTTGGAGCAAAGCAACAAGTAGAGATAGAAGAAAGACTGCGCTCCAGTGAGGAAGAACAGAAGGGCCTGTCATGCCTCAGAGCAAAGCTGGGGCTTCAGGGTGTCCTCCATGCCCCTCTGGGGCTGGAGGTCCAGGAAGCAGAGCACGCATGTGCATCAAGAGCACCAGCTCCAGCTTCCAGGCAGGCAGAGCAGCATGCCTCCCGTGCCACCTAGGGGTCAAAGGATGAAACGCAGCATTGCCTTGGGGTTTTTTAAGGCTGTGGTTTTGAAGCACAGCACTAAAGGTCTACATTTCTATTCAGAATGCTATCTATACTATATGAGAAAATGCTGAACAACAGGAGCTACAGAAGGTGGGCTGCCAGGCCTGAGGGATTTCCTTCCCATCTTCCTGTGTTGTTAGGTGTCCTCCAAACCACAGGTCAAAATTGACTACAGGAGTGATTCTAACAGGGAAGCAAAAAGATACCCAGAGGGGCAGGAACGTGCCTACGACTCCACCTCCAGGAGTGCCTGGGGGTGCACATGTGTCCCGTGGGTCCTATGCATGGTCGTCACAATGCTGTTTCATGTCTTGACAGTTCTAACGGATGTGAGGACGATGTCTGTGTCCTCATACACCATCCCAAAGTACTGTAGTGCTGCCCAGTGCAGCAGGACTGATCCTTCAGGTCCTAGCCAGAGTAACTCCATCTTGTAGCAAGACTTCACTTAGCTGTTCTGTGCACCTCATTACAGCACAAAGGTTGTCTTTCCACCTGCAGACAGTTTGCTGAGGCCAGCAGAACCCTAGATAACAGATGTGGTTGTGTACATCAACAGTGAACTTCCCTGGAGTCTGGTTTGTCTGAGCCCACAGTTGCCTCTGTTGCTTTGAAACTAGGTGGTACCCTGAGCACAGGTTGCAAAAACCTTATAGCAGGCTTAGCGCTACACAAAAAATTAGAGGAGCCTGGTGAGCTGGCTTGGGACTGCTCAGTGGTGTGACTGCTTGAGGCTCCCACGCTCTTGCAAGTAACAAAACACCCTGACTTCGCCTGGACTTGACTCTTTCTTGGGTTGGTCTGTGTCCTTAGTTTTTTGGTTTTCAGATGTTTCTTTTATATTTCACAGTCATTTATATCCGGTCTTGTCACAGGAACACCCCTTAGAAGCCCTGTCACTGTTGATCCTGCTTGATGTTCTCAGGGCCATGGAGGTGACCTGGGCACCGCAGGCAAGGACAGGAGCTCTGTTGTTAGGAAAACAGCAGCCTGGGAAAGGCACAGCTTCAAGTTGAGAATGCAGCGACTGGCCCAGGGAATAAGAACCGGCCATGGGACACGGCTGTGAGAACAGTGAGCAGGCGCCTGCTGTCACACTGCAATGGGGACATGGCCCCAGCGTGACCCATGGGATGCCTGGCTGCTCTGCCACACCTGCTCTGCATCTGTGACAGGCCTGGGCTCCGTGTTCTGCTGTTTATGTTGACAAGCCATCTGAATACCACCATTACCAGTCTCTATTACTGATGGCAGAGCCATTAGAATAGGACATGGTGTGGACACAGGAGAGCCAGGCTTTCCCGGACAGCTGGTAAATGTTGATAGGACATAGTGAATCCCTCTAGCATGACCCACAGAAGCCACCTTAGCATAAGGGGCATTTCTTAGCACTGCTGTGGAGGGGTGCGCCAGGTCAGAAGTGAGAGAAGGTTTCTGGAGCAGCAAGGGGCAGGGAGGAGTTCCTAACCCCACGTTCTCGAGAGTCTGGCTAATATGAGTTGCACCCACTTTGAGGTTCTGACAAGACATGTTTCTGGACAGGCAAAGCTGGCTGAGCTCCAGGCCAGGGAAGATATCTAGCCAGGCATGCTTGAAGGTCTTCAGAGAATCTGCAGGCAGGCTGGGAACCCAGACTCTGGGCTAAGCTGAGGTAGGCAACTTAGTCCCTAAGCCCTGCTCTCTCTCTGTGGGTCAACAGGCTGATAGGGAGCCTTGGGCGGCGGGTGTGTGTGTGTGTGTGTGTGTGTGTGTGTGTGTGTGTGTGTGTGTGTGTGACAAGCATGTGAGCTACAGGTGCTGGGCACACTGTAGCAGGCGGCAGCAGCACCCAGGCCCAAAGCCCTACTCCGAGCCTTTCTTATCAGTACAGATCACTAATGCTGGAGGGAATGGACGCATGAACAACAGCCAGTACAAGTTTATGCCAAGAACAGCCACAAGGTGAGTGAACCTGATGTGAGGAGAGACCACCAGAAATCCACGGCTTTGAGTGACACACAGCTCCAGACCTACTGTGACTCTTCACTGTCAACTTGACTGAATCTGAAGTTAACGGGGAGACACATCTGGAGGCATGCCTGTGAGGGAGTTTCCAGAGAGGCTTAACTGAGGAGGGAAGACCCATTCTGAATGTGGTGGCAGCATCCATGGGCTACGCTGCAGACTACAGAACAAAGAGAAAGTGAGCTCAACACCAACGTTCATCACTCTGCTTTCTGACAGAATGCAACGTGGCCAGCTGCCTCACACTGCTGCTGCGAGACTTCCTCTGCCAGGATGGACAGCACCACCAATAAGTTCCTCCTCAAGTGGCATCTTCTTAAGTATTGGTTACTGTAATGATGAAGGCTGTCAACATGGAAATGTGGTACCAGAAGTGGGGTCATTGCTGGAAGAAACCCGACTACCTGGTTCCTAAACCACTGCAGCTTTCTGAGGGATGGCTTTTAGAGTTTGCAGATACAAGCTGGGGAGGCCCTAGAGTACTGTTGGCAGGCTTAATGGACCAGTCTGGTAGGATCTGGAAGATCAGAGTACCAACAGCAATGCAACAGTGAGATGGCTTGTGAGGTTTCAGAGAACAGGACTCTGCTGGGCCAGAGGTCATTCATGTTATACTCTGGCAAAAAACCTTGCCGTGTTTTGTCTGTGCCCTGAAAATCTGAGTAAGACTGAATTCCAAAGTAATGGACTAAACTGTTTGGCAGAGGAAGTTTTAAGACACTATAACACCTATACTGTGGAATGGTTGCTGTGTAAGTACATTTACCTAGATTTACAACAAGAATAAAAAATGAAGAGGACAATGTCCAGACCGTGTACTGGGGCAATAGGAAGAGAGACCACCCTGCCTGCTGAGAGCTGCAGGATTTAACCACGAGAATTCATTCAAAAGGGGAGCACCTGAACACGCAGCTTTCAGCACACCCTGTCCAAGTATGGCAGGTTCATCTGCAAAGGGACACAGAAGCACCTGCACCTGTGGTTCAAGGGGCCAGGCTGTAGCTCAAGCTGGAAACAGGACTCGGTATGATCTACATGGGGCCGGTTTTGCAAGTATGCAGGCTGAAAGACTGAGGGGATCGTGGAGGCTCCAGAAAGCCACAGAGGCCAGGTAACATGCAGCAGGGTTGGATTCTCTGCATGGTGCTCCCAAGTAGGTTATAGATAAAGCCATGAAAGTGCAGAAGAGATCCCAGGGTACTGGAACAGCAGAAATGCAGGGCCTTCATCCAGGAAAACTACAGGCACTGAGTGGAATGAGCCTGAGGTCACATGAGTCACAGGCAAGGGTTTGGGAGGGTAGGGTATTATCCAAGCTCACACGATCCAGATGATGCCACTACAGGCCCTAGATGCTGGGTATAGGGCTACAGGGTTTGGTGTTCACCCTGCTGGCTTTTGGTCAACTCTTTACTTACTATCCTCCTGATCCTTCCCTCTCTGTGCCACTGTACATTAAAAGTATGTAAGCTATTCTTTGACTTTACAGGGGCTCACATTTAAGGGACACAGAAGAGACCGGGAACTCTGGGCTTTTAGACAATATTAAAACTATTAAGATTCTGAGGACTCATAGATGAGCTAAACGCATTTTGCATTATGAGATGTCCGTGAGCCTTTGAGGACAAGGAGTGGAGGGCTATGGCTTAAAAGTGATGTATTTGGGTGTCGAGTTGCCAAGGGGTGGAACTGTGATGGGTCATCTTCATTGTCAATGAGACTGGCTTTAGAATCATCTAGGAGACACACTTCTGGGCATGCCTATAAGGGTGTTTCCAAAAAGGTTTACTTGTGCAGGGAAGATAGGGGGCGGCATCAGCCCATGGGCTGAAAAGAAGGAAAAAGGAAGAGCTTTCTGACTTCAAGCACTGTGTGACCAGCTGCCCGACACCCTAGCTGCCATGCCTTCCCTACCAACTGCACCTCCGCAAACTGAGACGTGTCTTGTTAGGCTTTGGTCACAGTAATGAGAAGAACAACACACACTAATCTTGCTCAAAGAATCTACTTGCCTTGAATGCCAGCTGGATGGTGGCCAGGGTCTGGGATGGCCTGCACACCACAGACAATGCGACCACATATTCACGCAGGTCTATCTCGCCACTACCGCTCTGCAAAAGAGACACGTTTTCAGATGAAGGCTTTGCTGTCTGCAAGTCACGTAGCTAAAGGCCTCACCCCAGTCTGACTTGGTGACATCTGTGAATGGGGCGTTTTAGAAGATGTGATTCCTAAAGTAACGGATTCTCCAAGGTGACTCCCAGGCACTCTTGTTAGACTCTCAGTTAATTCTCAAGGTGTACGGGACCAACACTCGAAGCTTCTCCAGAGAGCGAACCTAGGCCTGAGAGCAGACTGGACAGTATTTTGGGGTCTTCCCCAACAGAGAAAACCACACCCATGCTGACAAGTCAGAGGTTTTGCCCCAGTGGACCCACCTCATCGAATAGCGAGAACATGTCCTCCAGTGTGTCAGACACAGGGATTTCCAGGTACGATGCGAACTCTGGGAGGTGGATCTTCTCCCCTCCCTTCATCCTCGCACTCTCTGAGTATTTGTCTAAATCTTTTTCAAGTTGTTCTGGTTTCAGTCTAAATAAAAAAGATAACCTTCTTTATCCACACAATCACAGCACAGGAACTAAAGCAGGAGACTCCCTGCCATGCCTTGAGAGTCAGCAACATAGTAAGAATGGTTTGTGGTAAGCAGCTAATTTGTTTCCAAACCCAACACATTCTCAGTTTGGAGGGGTCAGGTCTTTTGTCTGTGTGCATCCCTCAGCCTGTGGCTGCCCCTGGGGTACACTTCTGGGACAGATTACAGGGGCAGTATTTACACAGACAACTGGTGTCAGGTAGGAAGGTTTTCAAGGTCCTTCTACATGGACTGATGTTGATATTTGGAAAAAAGCCATAAAAACAAAACTCAAAGTAAGAAGAGCTAAGAATGGTTTCTCAGAGTTCTCCCTGGACCGCAGCAGCATCAAGCTCTAATGAGGGCTCAAGAGCCACAGGAAACTCACCCGAGGGCCCGCACGAGCCTGGCAAACTCTAGCAGGCAGGTGTCGGCGGGCAAGTGGAGCTGTCCTTCCGCCAGCGCCAGCTGGCAGTCCTCAAACGTGTAGTCGGTTACTGAGACACCCAGGGCCCTGCAAGAGAGGGATCTTCCCATCAACCCCATGTCACCTGTCTTTACATTTCAGTAGCAGCAACAGCTGCCAAGGACTGGGGATCAAGAGGGCAGCCAGAATGGATAGTTCCTGATGGCCTGCAGGGGGCACTCACTCTGACTGTCCTGCCCATGCCTAGAAGAAAGCCCCGGAGTTCACCAGAGGCTGACATACCCGGTTCCCAGGCACCAGTTCCGTCCAGGACCCCTCTCAGAGGAAGCCACTAACTGGCCATTACATACCCCTCTGAAACCATGCTGGGTGTGCCCTTCTTTGTGACACCTAGACAGGAACTGGCTTACTTGTATGTGATGAGGCCTTCAGTAAGGACTCAGTGCTTTAATTTTTTAGTCTATGTAAAACATTTTGGGGGGGCAGGGTCTCACTATGTAGTCTTACCTGGCCTGACACTCGCTATGTAGACCAGGCCGGCCTTAAGCTCACAAAGGTCTGCCTGCCTCTGCCTCCTGACTACGGGATTAAAGGCCTGGGCCACCACACCCAGCTTAAAACATTATTTTAGATGTAAGCACTGGGAAAGGAAATTCCCATGAACACAGACGGAAGCCAACATGGGAGTGACTGTCACAGAAGCTTCCCAAGGACAGGCCCTGCCCAGAGCATCTGAAGTCAAAGGGTCCTGCTGTGTCCTCAATCACACAAGAGTACCCTGGCTGTAATGCTTGGAAAGAGGCCAGGGACTAAAGCCAAGCGTTCAGACGTCAGATGAAAACCAATGGGATGCCTGCAAAATCACATGAAAAACTCGGACAGGCAGGTGAACCCTCCACCTCAGGTCCCTGGGTTTACGCCATGTGCTGCAGACTCATCAGGGCCCTCGCCCAGTGTGACCAGAGGTGAGGTCCAGCGGTCCAGAAGCTCGGGGCTGTGACAACATAGAGCAGTTTTCCCAGGGGTCTCAAGGAGCTAGGAGGAGCTTGCCGGAAGCAGAGCCTAGATCCCAGGCTTATTCCTATGGGTCTCAAAGTGTGGGCAACTCTGCTGGTGGTCAGTGGAAATTCTGACTTGAGCCCTTGGGTGGCAGCGCAGAGTCCCACCGGAGCTTGATACAGTCCACAATTAGCATGAGCTTGAAGGCTGTCTCAAACTCCTCTTTCCTGACACACAGGCCGCCTAACCCTACAGCTGCTTAGTGTTCCCGCCACCATCCCACTAATACCATGCATGCCCGTGGTCTATGTAATTGTAATCTGTGTATCCATACACCTGACCAGCATAGTTGTGTCCTCAGATCTGACGGGTCTTGAAGAGCTGTATAGAAGCAGGTGCTGCCTCACAGAGCCTCTGCAAGGGGCCAAGGTCCAAGGTCTTGTCCTAAGACAGCCCCCGCAGAGGAAGCAACAGGGTCAGCCAGCTGCAGCTGCAGCAGGGAGCAGTGCTGAAGGCCTCGTCTGGAGTACGTGTATGAGATGGGACGCAAAGATGGAAGGAAGTCAGAGAGGGAGGGCACTCAGGCAACGGGATTGTTGTTTGTCTGAGGGCACTCAGACAAACAGGGACCAGGAAGCAGAAACAGCGTTTACATTCTCAACTATACAAAAGTTATACGGTAGCTTAGGTCATAGATCAAAGGAACAGACATCAGACTTCCCCCAGGGGGAAGGAATCAGGCTATCAGTAGATAATCCACAGGCAGATGAAGTGAGGCCTGGAGGCTGTGACAGAGGTCCAACATCTGCCCGGGCTGGCACCCTGGTACACACCCCAGAGCAAAGCACCCGGACAGCTGGTAACTACGCAGGTTTGAAACTTGTAAAATGAAGCAAAGATTAACCTGTCTTCTAAATGTTAAACAAATCAAAACATCATCAGATAAAAGTAAGAGACACAAACCAAGGCCAAGCACAGTGCACTGCAACACGTGCAGAACCCGTTTGTTCACTTTTAGACAACCCAGTGCAGCTGCTCACTCACCTGGCCATGACGTGCCGCACGTTGCTGGCATATAGGGCAGGGTTCCTCTTTTCCTCCTCAGAAGGGCTGTACACAGGCAGGAACTAAGGATGACAGAGAAGCCGTGTTACCCACCCCTGTGAATGTGAGACCCCAACCCCACATAACGATAACTGTGGGATAACATCAAACCTGGCCGAAGCCCTCCCTCTAGAACAGCCCACCCACGTCTATGCACGCTGCACTCACAACCACAACATATACACTGTGCAGCACACAACCATATCTATGTGCACCCACACAACCGTGTATGTACTGCATACATCCATCTGCCCCTACCCCAATATGCGCATACATACACACACATCTGCAAACTTCACAACCCAGCAATGCTAACCAGGAGTCCCCTCTGCTCCAGGCCACAGGGTCCAGCTCCTAACTGCATGCCTATTTCCATCCCTCAAGGTCAGTTTTGTGTTGAGGAAGCACAGAGCTTCCCTTCTGCTTGAAACCCTCCTGGCAGCTCTGTGACAGCTACATCTTTATGATCAACCACCCTACAAAAACATCCAGGTGGAGAGACAAAGTATTTATTTATTTATTTATTTATTTATTTATCTATTTATTTATTTTTTGGTCTTTTTGAGACAGGGTCTCCCTGTAGCCACAGCTGTCCTGGAACTCACTACGTAGACCAGGCTGGCCTTGAACGCACAGAGATCTGCCTGCCTCTGCCTCCTGAGTGCTGGGATTAAAGGCATGCGCTACCATGCCCGGCTAGACAAAGTATTTTAAATGACTCAGTGGCACATGTGGTGCATGAAAGGCCAAACACATCCCTTGCTTTTCTTTAAATAAGGATCTTCTTCCTAAAAGCCTACCAATTCCCACCGTCTGAGTCTAAGCTTTCACTCATGGCTACATTAGAAAATTCCTGAAACGGTCCCTCACATTATCACTAGCACTATGCATGGCCATGTGAGTGGGGACGCAAAGGCATTCTCAGTCTTTCTTCTCTTAACATGAGAAACCAGGTCTGTAATAGGCCTGTTTAAAACCGGGCGGGAGCCCAGGCAGCATGAGTTCCATGCTCCTTCCCAGACCTGACCCTGCTATCTGCTGGCAGTCAACAGAGGGGCCACACAAGTATTCAGAGCAGCAGGGTTGACACGCTGGGCTGGGCCACAGCCCTGCTCAGCTCTGCAGACATCACAGTGGCTCATCTTCTGCAGAAGTGAATAGCCTGGCTGAAAGCCACACCCACCTGTCCACTCTGTATGGTTCTGCAGTATTTATGGGAAATGAGTTTACTGTTTCATAACACAACGGAGCACATCATGCATCTGTGATTTCAGGCCCAGGCCCCCCATTCACTCAGCTAGTTCTATAAACTGCACATATATGATGTTTAACCAAGAGATTAAGCCCAGTACTCCACGGACCGAGAGTTGGGAGGCAGGTCACACTCTCTGACCAGTGCTAAACAGGATGATGACAGAATGAATTTAGCAGTTCAAATTCAGCAGATTATTTTAGATATAAATAAAGGCAAAACAGTTTATGTGCCAATTTTATACACTTTTAGGTATATAAAAGAATGATAGTTTAGCTTCCTTGTTAACTTTAAAAAATCCTGTCCAAATGAATTAAAACCATCTAAGAGTCATAAAGTCACTGAGGAAAAGTAGCCAGGAAGCCCCTCTAGGCCATAGACAAAGGAAAACTTACTCAAAATCTATCAATACAGATCAGACTATAAGACTATTAATTCTCCACACAGCTCTTGGCTTAATCCTATCTTAGAACTGTGCATGTACAGATCCCAGTGTTAACATCATAGGACACTACTGACAGAAGACTCGTATAGCTGCATAACCCTGTATCCCTGATGACTTCAGTGTGACACTGTGTGACACTGTATCAACACAGTTCTCAGTTTAATATTGTTTACACATGGCATCAGTGCAGACCCCAGAGAAACCACGTGTCTGTATAAAGACAACAGACCAAGCACCTAGCCAGTCCCCCACTCCACACTGAATGACATTGTATCCACACACCTCGATTTCCACTTGGTTCTGAAACTGGCACAGAGTGAGCCACAGGATTTTCAACCTTAAAAACAACATTGAATCATTTTACAACATTGGTTAAAAAATAAGTTTCCTAACTCTTGTACTTGAGTGACTCCCAATTCTGACCAGGGCCTCTAAGGGGCACTACCAGGCAGTGAACTGGGGAGGGAGGTGGAGCTTTCCAAAGTCCCAAATGTCAAAATGAGAGAGGAAAAAGGTGATTTTTATTAACTAGAGGTCTTCACTTTTCTGATTAAATACTTGCTTCTGTCTTTGGTTGTCTAGAGAGCCATCCTTTGCCCTCCAGCTTGGGGAGACTTGACTACAGGAAAGCCTGGTTTTCCAACCCTCCAACCCTCTAACTCTCCAGTCACCTCCAGCAGGGCAGACTTCCAGGCTCCCAGTCACACTGCCCCGTAGCCTGACTCCCAGGGTCCCTGATCTTCAGTGACAAGGCCACTACTTGCTTTGCAGGAGTTAAAGTACAAAGGCACCTGGAGTCCCCATCCTTGGGACCACACTCTCTCCCCTCACCCTGGTGGTAAGTCAACCCTTAGCTCTGCACCAACCTGTCTGTGCCCCAGCATGCCAGTCCCAAGACCAGGACACAGGACCCCCATCCAAGCACTCCTTCCAGCCCAGCCTCCTGCCTCAGAAGTGGTAGCCTGACATCACCGAGGTGGCCCCTCCACAGTCCTGTGCTCCAAACACCTTGAAACCCCCATGACTGACTTGTCCCCACCTACATGTAAATGTCAGCTCCAGGATAGTGGAGGCCCTGATGGCCTGACACCCTGAGCTTTTCCACTGTAGATGCACACATTCCATTGAAGCTAGTAATCAGAGCACACCTGATCCTCAGTGTCTGTCCCAGGAAGACAGGGGTGCCAACTCTAGAGGACTTTCCCCTACCCAGGATCACCTGAGCCCCATGCCTGTACAGCAGGCCCCATCCCCAAACACCAGTTGCCACTATGTGAACAGTGGTAAGTACTGAGCTGACAGACCCAGGTGGGTAAGGGAAAGGCTCAGTTACCTTCCCCTGGGTGCTGGTGTGGAGGAACCTATGTCCTCAGAGTCCAGGAGTGTTACATGGCCACATGGGTACACTTAGCTTTCACAACGGGCTGACCCTAACTGCTGCCAACAGTAGCTTTCACATTTTCAAAAGTAACGAGGGCACCGGAGTCAGCAGTGCCCTGTGAATCCACAGAATCAGAGGACAGACAAGGTGACAGAGTGTCCAACTTACGCTCCGGGTCCTTGCCACGTCCACGTGATGGTATCCTGGGTGAAAGAAAGGAGACAGATCGTGAGTGGAGTCGGGCATGTGAGGGCCACCCTCAGCCAGCCCAGAGGTGCAGAGCTTCTCTTTCTGCCACAGTTATGGGGGCGGGGTCCCAGGCTCCTGAAAGGCCCCAATCTCTCAAATGTCCATCTCCTTCCTCACACCTCTGAGGCTGCCCATCCCCATGTTCCCCAAGTCCCTCATGCATGCTGTTCCCACCTCTGTTCCAAGGTGCCCTGGTGACCACCATCTATAATACCCAAGCCTTCTGTATCACCTGCTCCAAGATGCTCATAGGAGGCTCAGGCAAGGTCTGCCCACAGCTGGTCATGTGATCCCCTTGTAGCCTTGTTCCCATGATGCACTACCCTGTACCTCAAATGTCCAACCACAACAAATGCGCTCCGCCCTGGTCAGCTCTGGGCAAAATAAACCTCAGCACCTTGGTGACCTGGCTGCCCCTCCCTTCGTGAGCCCAGGGTTTCAGAAGCTGCCTCTATCCTCAGCAGCCACACCAACACCTGCATGGGTGCCAGACAACAGATATGCCGTTTCCTACCCTGACACTGGCCATTTCCTATGGCTTCTTTCCTCTGTCAGCCCTGGCCTGCCCCTTCCACCCTGGCCTCCCTCCCTAGGCAAGGTCTGTGTTCAGAGCTCTGGCAGTTGGGGCTAACTGAGGAAGCATACACAGATCGAGGGAACATGAGTACAGGTGAACATCCTGCTTCTCTGATAACCAAATGTCCAGGGGTCCAGTGAGGGGCACCACCTCACCAGGCTGCTGAATCTGCTCAGAAACGGAAATGCCATTCCCACACATGGGAGGAGGCCACTCTATTCTTGGGTATGCGGACTCTCGGCAGAGAGGCAAGGCCTTCCTCAGGAAACTGCCAGGAAAAACAGACTTCCGAGGTTCAGCAATACAAGGCAAAGTCGTTACATTCATGGCGACCAGGACTGATGTTTCAGTAACTGCTGGTCCAGAAGGCTTCCACTGCCCAAGCACTGGCCTTAGTCTCGTGACAGGTGACTTCAGGTCCAGATGGACCGGCAGACTGGGCGCTCACATGGGCGGGCTGGACTCTGTGCCCACAAGCTGCTTACATTGCTTGCCCGCCCCCCCCCACCCAAGGTTGGAGCTGAATGGTTTCCTTCCATAAACTGTGCTCGCTCTGCTGCCATCAGCATTGACTGCTGCTGGGGAAAGTTGACCGTGGTAAGCACCCCCACTTGTCATTCCCACCGGAGGCTTACTCCACCAAGAAATGACACACATGCCCATCCCTGAGCCAGCTTGGCCCTGGAGCTCACTTTCACAGCCTCCATTTCTGTGTATGGAAGTCATCAGGGGTGATAACACCTGCTCCCAGAGTCACAGCAGAAGGGACTCTGAAGCTGGCACCTGGGGAACAGGCTGGCTACCCCTGGTCCCCTGGGAACATCACAGACGCCTGCAAGGGAAGGCCCAGTGCTCTTGAGGCCTTATCCTGACTCCTCCTTCTCCCAAGCTGGGGTCCTCCAGGGTTACCCCAGGAGCTCTGGGCCCAACTGCCTTGTCTTATTTTGTTTCTTTAAAACAAGTCAACGAGACTGCTACGGGGAACAGAGGAAGCACAACAATGCACGTGACCTCCAACGTTACTGTCAGGACTCATCCTCATCTGCTAGAACGGAAGTAGCCCTCAATTTTAACATTGCCTGGCGTGTGACCCCAGCTTTGAGAGCTGCCAAGAGCTGATATGTAGGGTCTCACCAAAGTGCAGGGACCAGTCACACGAGAGGGAGGGCCACTGCTTTAGGGCTTATGGATTTTGGAACTTTGTGCACCAATGCAGGACTATTCTAGAAATGTCAGAAATGCACCAGAGCTGGCTTATACTCAGGACTCCATGTGAGCCTGCCCTGCCCTATCTGAATTAGGAAGTACGATTCTGCTAACTGCTGTGTCCACTACTGTGTCATGGACAAAGGACAGACAGGGCAGCCCGGTGCATCAAAATACCACCCACCTCTCATTCCTACTGAACACCCCTCAACACAGATCCTAAGAGGACACAACTTACCAATTTGTTTGGGTATCGAAGCACCACGGGCTGGACAGGAACTCCAGGGATGAACGCACCTGCCAAGTGAAGTACAGAGTCTCACCGCTGGCCACAGGAAGTACGGGGAGGCCGGCCACAGGAAGTACGGGGAGGCCGGCCACAGGAAGTACGGGGAGGCAGGCCTGGCGGACGGCACTCTTCCTAACTTTGGCGAACTAAGCTTTTCCGCACAGGCCTTCCAAGTCAGCCAAGGCACTCTGGGTACTCAGACTATCTCCTGTATCCCTGTAACACCCGTGGACAGAGGAATCGCTGATGTCTCAGCACTAACACGAACACAGGCACAGAAGTGTTTCCAGCTGAGGTGTACTTTCTAAAGTCATGTGCAAACTAGAAGCCCCCACGGGAAGAAAAGGTCTCCAGTGCGTCTGCACCTCCAGGTGCCAGGGCCATCAGGCTCTTTGTCACATCTTCCTTGGTCTCCACTCACTGCCCGTGATCTAGCCCTGGGGCGAGTCAGCATGGAGGACAAGGCACACTTAGTCTCACCCGGGGTGGGACTTCCCAGTTCTCGCCTATCCGCACGTATGACAATCCTCTACCTGAGCACTGGAGAGAAGTGTCAGCCAAGGGGCCTCAAGGCTGCACTCTAGTCCCCTCTTCTGTCTACGCTAGCTGTGCATCATTTCCTGGTGAGTTAACAAAGCTGGTTTATAAAGTCCTGTTTCTATTTAAATTGTTTGAAGGCCTTCCCACTCCTGAAAACCTGGGTGTCAGGAGCATCCAGATGCTGAAGGATGGATGTCTAAGGAGGCCATCACTGCTAGCCAAGAGACCCTGTGCTCTTCTGGTTGCTGCAGCATCCCCTGGAAACTGGTGCTCCCCAGTGGGGTCCATGCCCATTCTGGGTGGGGAAGGATCCTAGAGGGAAGTCTGCTTGCCTCAGAGGCCCCTTACCCATCAGCTCACAGCCTTGGGTATGGGCCTAGCTAAGGCTTCTGCGTAACTCTAGCAGAATCTGCACTTTGGGCCAACAGGAGCTTCTGTTCCTAAGGTTGCTTCTTCCATAGTGACCTACGTCACACAGCAGGACATTCTGGAGCTGATGACCCAAGCTGTTCAGATCCTGCCTCAGGCACAAGGTTCATCTGCAGCCCCCATATGTCTGGCCTTCCCCCTCATCCCTGGATTTGTCAGGGTAGAAACACAGGTGGTTATCATTTCTGTGTATGCGGATCCAAGACGGTCCTATGAAGGACGGTGGGACACAGGCAAGGTCAGTACAGATCGGGGTGCACGCTCCAGCATCAACACCTGGCTGCGGAGCCCTGGCCTCCTTGGCATGCTGATGAATACAGTCTTCATCCCAGGGGGCTGACATGGGTCCCAAGTGCCACCATGACCAGCTGGCAAAACTGCAGTGTTCGTTGCCATAATCATCCTGACCCGTGTCACAGAGACATTGTTAAAACTCAGCAATGAGTTTAAAAGGCCTCTATTTCAAACTGAGTGTACGTATCCCAACATGTATAGCCAGAAAAAGGCAAGATACAGAAAGAAAGAGGTGCTGGGCTGGCACAGCCAGTGTCATATCCACAGGAGATGGTGGCTTTTCTCAGACTCCACACGGGAATTCAGACCACATGGAGGGTCCATGTGTTATGACGTATGGTGGCCAGCTTGGCAATGGTGGTGCTGAAAACAGCAGGTGCCTGGGGTCCTCACTGGGTACCACAGTAGTCCTGGTGGGCAGCCCTGGCATACAACCTCCCTCCCCTTCACCCATGATGCTGTCCCTGCGGAAAATTCTCACATGCTCTCTTTGAGTCTAATTTCCTTCAGCCTCGAACAGGAAACCCAGCTGTCTCTGTGGTGCGTGACTAGAAGCCACTCCTTAGTTCTTCTCAGAAAGGGTGACCCCACCACCATGGAAGAGGGGGTGGCCAGCAACCACAGGCAGGTCACTGCTCTTGAGACACCAAACTCCTTCACAGGTTATTCGTTCTCTGCCTGTGTCCTTGGGAATGTGACTGAGACCAGCTACTGAGGTTTCCAGCCAAATGATTAGAGGCCTTTGAGGGCCATGCCCAGAGTGAGGGGTCCAGGTGGGGTGGGCAATGGAGCTGCCTGCAGCCAAGCCTGTCCTGATCAGTGCATGCTGCCTTGGGTCACGGAAAAAGAGCGACTCAGGACACACTAGAGAAACAGGAAGCTTCCCCTTCTGTTCCCCTCCTCATGAAGGAGCTCTTACTCTCTGTGCCGGGAGGGAGCCATGTGCACCTGAGAGGCACTGAAGAGGCTGGAAGGGCCATGGAGCCGGAAAACCCCAAAGGGGGCACTATGACGCAGCTTGATCGAGACGCTGACAGCTCTACTAGTCTGTTGGAGCTGGTATGCACACCTGTGCAAACACAGTTTATGAGGCCCACTTACCTGCTAAAAGCACCGAGAGTTAAGTCAGGATCAAGAATAAACCTGCTAATGAGCCTCCGAGGATGTGCAGACCTGGTCTTTTTTTTTTTTTTTTTTTTTTGGTCTTTTTGAGACAGGGTCTCCCCCATAACCATGATTTGCCTAGAACTTACTATGGAGACCAGGCTGGCTTCTACCTCCCAAGTGTGGGGATTAAAGGCGTGTGCTACCACGCCCAGCTAGGAGTGAACTTTGTATAGCACAACACTGCTGCTGAAGCCAGGGCCTTGGCCCCAATGCTGGGCTCTGGCAGCACCATGAGGTGGTGTTCAAGCTCACGACACTGCTCATTTCCATTCACCTGGGGCTCTGAATCCAAGGAGCAAGCTGCAGGCTGCTTAACTGCTACAGGCAGTGGGAGCTGCCAGAGCACCTCCAGGCATCCTCAAAGACACAGAAGCCTCAGCACATCAGGGTCTGGTCAGTCAGGACCTCAAAGTGCAGGCAAACGTCCCCACCTTGTGACAGCAACTACCTTTCTAATTTCCCCCATCCTCCCACAAACACCATAGTTTCCAACTCAACCACTGAGACTTTCCTGGGACTTCTAGGAATGTTTCTAAGAACCCAGCATACAAGAAAACACCAGAGATTTCTAGTACCAACATATGACATTACTTTAAATATCACTCATCTCTTCCTCTTCTTGAAGAAAGTAAAACTCAGAGAGCTACATACCAGGTTTGAAGGTAATGAGGCAGGTCCTGTTTGTGCACGTTCCTTCTGGAAAAATCATTATCTTAAAATGGAAAAAGTCAGCATTAAACTACTGTGATTAAATCCGGAGTCTGTGTGAACCCACCTACCAGATGTGTTTTCTCTATTATTGATATAAGACTGTGGCTCCTGGAAACGGGGAGAGCCCTAGTGACTGCCTCAGGGTGCCGTGCGGCCAGTTAAAGTGAAATAATAAAATGCCTGATCACTCCAAAGCAAGCAGTGACTGGAAAAGACCAAGGTTCTCAGTAAGAAACACCCCCGCCTCCAGCCAGCCCAGAGGAAAAAAGAAATCCTGTCCCCACGGGCATTTCAGTGGCTGACTCATTGGCCACAGTGACAGGTATCAAGCTAAACTCTCCATGGTGGAAAGCACAGCTCATACAACTTCCAAACCTGGGCCCTCAAGGGAAGGTGATCCCCTGAGGAGGCTGAGTGGGCTCACTGGGCATGCCTGAGAGGCGGAGGGAGTGACCTGCATGTGTGGGGTGGCAACTGGTTCACTCTAGAAGCCAGCGTTCCCACGGAAGCTCCTCATGGGTACAGGTGCCTTTGTGCCAGACCCGCAATGTTTCCTGAGCAACCAGAGTCAGGGTGTTCTACAAAACCTCCAGCTTCTACATGCTGACTCAATTAGAAAGGAAACACACGCATGGGTGAAACACAAGGCATCTCAGCTCACATGGGCCCAGGGCAGAGGCAGGCCTTGTGGATGTGGCCACAGGAGCCAACCCTCAGGGTGGAAGGCTCAGTCCAGGGTCTGGAAATGCTGCGTGCCTTAGGCTCACAGTCAACCAGCAAAGAAGACTAAACCCAGGAGGGCACCATCTGAGGGAGCACTTAGGTTCAGAAATGACACAGGGCTGGAGAGATGGTTAAGAGTACTGGCTGTTCTTGCACAGGACCTGGGTTTGGCTCCCAGCACCCATATGGCAGCTAACAACTGTCCCTAACTCCAGTTCCAGGGGATCTGATGCCCTCTTCTGACCTCTGTGGGCACTGCACGACATGGGTGCACTTACATACATGCAGGCACTACACTCACACACATAAGGATAAAACATTAAAAATGACGACGGGAAGTGGACACTTGGGAGATTCTGGTTTGTTACTTGTTCTCACTTCAAGTTCAGACACAGAAACCAAAGACACCAAACAGCACACGCTCTCGGATGCGTACACTCCTCAGAGACCACGGGAGGACTCCGGCACTGGAGACTAGTAAGACTGGTTTCTTCTTTCAATTCTCAAGCATACATCTTTTGGAATGAGCCCTTCAAGGTGCAAGCAGGACAACATTACCTGAGGCCACTTTCCATCCGACTGAGCCCTTCGCTTGATCTCCTCCACTGTCTTCCTGCGAGAGTCCTGGTCAGACCGTGACACAAACACTGGCCGGATGTACCTTATCAGAGCTGTAAGAGTCAAGACAGATTATCTGTGTGCACAGATTCTAAGAGCAGGACTGGCCAGGGACCTCTAAGAGGCCCAGTGGCCTGTATACCCTAGAAACAACCTCTGAGCTGTGCTGATGCCCAAGGCTGAGGAACCTTCCAGTGAACTCCACAGACAGTGGGATGTCCCACAAGTCATGTGCTTGTGATCAGCAATGAGTCCACAGGACCATGAACCAGAACTTTGGGCAGAGAATGGAAGCTTGACTGACCAAATGTAGATGGCCTGCCCTATTATCAGAATAAGGAGGTTCAAGTATTCCTGGACATGGGTCTTAGTCCCCAGGCCCCTGCTGTGGATGGACCTGCATCCTTCAAAGACAGGAATGAAGCCCTAATGCCTGGTACCTGGGAATATGACCTTACCTGGAAATAGGGTGTCTGCAGATAGTCAAGGTCAGCTGCTGTCACCCCTAACTGGGGTGGTTTTAATTCAATGACTGATGTCCTTTTAGGACAGAGGCAGGGGCGAGAAAGACACAGGAAAGGAAGGCTGTGGTGGAGTGATATGCCCACAAGCCACAGAGTACCAACGACGCCAGCCACCACCAGGTTTTGGAAAAGCCCCTGCCATCAACACCCCCTCTTGGGCTTGTGGCTTTCAGAGTAGTGAGAACAAACTCTTGTTGCTGTGTTTTAAGAGTCCCAGAGACCATGTGCAGCCCAGGGTAACCACCATACCAGGCCCTCCATGTTGGGTCTGAGTTAAGGGCACTCTGTTGTGTCTGATGAGGCTCAACTGACCAAAACACTGGGGACCAGAAAACCACTGTCCTCTAGCCAACGCATGTAAATAGAAGACTCAGAAGTGTTGAAGAGACTTTAACATAAACTGCCCTCGGGTGGATCTGCGGGGAGATGATGAGTAGGTGCCAGGGCAGTTATAGCTTGACCTACTGTGCCTATGGCCAATCTCCCAGGCCCAGTTTAGCTGCAACTTCTTTTCTTAGTGATTTTGGTACTTGTAAAGAACACCCCATAACTCTTCCTTGAAAGATTTTCCAAAGGGCACGGAGAAAGTTTACTGAACAAGGAAAAATTAAATCGAAAATCCCTTTGATCTTGCAGGTCACCCTTGCACGTGGGTCAGTGTCGCGTCTGCCCCGTGTCTTGAACCCTTTTGCTGTTTTGTCATTCTAGCAGCCATTCCGTCCTCTTCTGTCAACTTCCTGATGCTGCCAGAAAATAACAAGAGCAAAAGGAGGAGGAGTGGGGAGCCGCCAGGATGGTGTGAGGGCAGCGCCACGGTCCCGGCCTCGTGGGGTCCCGGCCTCGTGACGTGCTTTGTCTTCCAGAGGAGCGGGGAGCCGCCAGGACGGCGTGAGGGCAGCATCATGGTCCCGGCCTCGCGTCGTGCTTTCTGTCTTCCCAGAGGCACCAGCATCCTCTTGGTGTGTTGTTGTGTTCATGGGCTGAGCTTAGAGTTCAGAAGTTTTCTTTTTCTGTCTATGATGTCAATGATAAGAAAACTGATACAGTGAAAGACACCTGCTAGTCCTTACGTGGGTCTGAGGGCAAACACAGGGAGATGGAGGGCCCCATGAGCAGGACAAGGGCAGCAATGACCATCTGGGCAACAGCTGGGCTGTGTCTTTGCAGGTCCCTGTGTGAAACCCCTTCCATTGGAGAAATGACCCAGACCCTGAGGGATGAACTGCTCCTCAAAGCAGGAAGTGAAAGACCACAGATCCTTGCCAGCAGGCTGCGCCCTCTGGGCAACCTGATCCTGCCCACCCTGTATGGCCAACAGGGCCGTCTTGTGGCATCTCAGCTCCAAACTTCACTTGACCAGTCTGAGTGGATGGGTATGAAAACAAGGCTGGCTCATAGAAATCTGGAGACAGAAAGCCACTGGGTCGGTCACTCTCTTGGCAGTAATAGACCTAAAGATGAAAGCACTTTAGATATTTAACATTCATCTCCTCAGCAGTGTGGGGCGTTGTCAAAGGGTCCAAAACAGAAGCCAGAAGTTGGGACAGGTTGATGCCCAGGTGAGCCTGCTCTGAGCCAGGAACCAGAGCATGTTCTAGATTCTTACCCTGGGCTCTCGCCCGGTGAGGGCCCTCATCAGCTGCCTGCCCAGGACAGCATCTACTCTGGCATGTTACAGTCAAAGGCAGCTGGGTAGGTGTGGTGAATGAGAAATGTCCCCCATAGGCTCCAAGCATGTGAACACTTGGCCCCAGCTGGGAGCACTGTTTATGGAGGTTTAGGAGGGCTGGCAGCCTTGTGGGAGGAAGCACGTCACTGAGGGCAGGCTCTGCACCTTGCCCCATTTCCAGGCTGCTCTCTCTGTCTCCTGCACATGGCTGAAGATGTTAGGGCTCAGCTTTGTGTTCTGGCCACCTGCTGCCATGCTTCCCCACCATGACAGGCTCATCTCCCCGGAGCCGTAAACCAGATGAGCTCTTCCGGCTAGAAGTTGTATTGGTCGTGCTGTTTATCACAGTAGAGAACGTAACAACCACTGTAGGGAATGAGACGGAATGAGCTACACTTGCAATCTAATCAATACCTCGCCCTTGCTCTAGAGATGGGTCTTTCTGTTGTCCTAGCTTGGACTCCAGTGATCCCCCTGCCTCAGCTTCTGGCGTACAGGGCCTACAGGCACACATCATGTCTGGCTAGGGACACTCCTGATAAACTCGTCATTATTCTTAGGGCTGTGGAGTCCATAACACGATGGAGTAACGCACAGGCCACAGGAAGGGCCTCGGCGTACAGTGCTACCGTCTCTGTAAAACCCAAAAGCCTCCTAGTGTCTTGCCAGGAGCCACATGCTCTTACATTTAGGGCTTGTGACACCTTTTAGGGTTATCAAGGTGAACTACAAAACTGCCAATTAACATGGCCTCACTTGGCTTTCAGAAAAATTTTGGACTTCAACCCAACCTCCCAGCATGCAGAATATTGTCCTTTATTTGGAAGGCTGGGCTTGATGACCAGCTTGATCCACAGGCTATGACCCAAATATTCCAACTTCCCTCCAGGAACCTCTCAAGAAGGGCGTGGGGGCGGCCCCTGCTTGCTCAGAGCCTTGTCTTATGACCAGTGCCCTTGCGCTGGCCAGCTTATTTCTGTCCACAGGATCTGTGGCACTGTGGGGTCACTCACAGGTGCAAAGCTACGAATGGTCCCAACTTCTGCCTTCCTGCTGGCCCCTCTAGACCTGGGAACTGGGACCAGCGCTTGACAGATCCACGACACTCTTACGCAGGGCTCAGGACAAACAGCAAACCACTGAGTCACTTCGCCTCTTGTGAGCCAGCTCTGTGCTGGCACTTTGAGGATGGAGGGCGTTCATCCAAGGTCCATCAGTCTCTGAGCTCTTTGTTCGAGATGCTGGCCCAGTGTTGCCCACACCCACGGTAAGGACACACACTTCCTGTGAGGGTGTGGACACATCTCTCAGGTGGCAAGCACCTGGGCTGTAGAGGCCATGTTTACAGTGGGCTCAGCTGTAGCCAGAATCCTCTGGAAAGTCACACAGGGGTCTGTGCTGGTCTGGGGTTGGGGACCTCGCTGCCACCTGCCTGGGTCAGTCCATGCACAATGGGGAGAGTGCCTGTCTCCAGCAAAGGGAGATGAAGGTGAAGACTGGAGGTCCTCCTTGCAGCTACACCCGAAAGCTCTTGTGCTTCTGAGTGGCAAAGGTTTCCTCATGATCTGGTCAAGTGTCAGCAGAGGCAGCTTGAGTCACAGCCAAAGCAGCAGGAAGACCAGGGCTGGGTAATCAAGGGTTAGCCAAGTCCTGTCCTCTGCCTACCTCCTTCCAGCCAAAGGTACTTCCTCAAGATTCCTGGTCTCTCTGAGACCCAAGAAGAGGGGCCTTGGCACCAGGATACCTCGACTCTCAGATGTCACCGCCCCCACCACCCGCCACTGTCCATGGCTGTTTCCGGAAGACATACAGCTTTGCTCCGGAGTGCAGGTCCAGCTGAGGCCACTGAATAGCCACATTCATGAGAACCACGGACCCACACCTACAGCATTTCGCTCAGAGACACACAGTGTCCAGGCACAAGCACAGGACCGGAGGACACAGGATAGTGCCTTTCACCAAACCTGTCCCTCTTCTAACTGTACACTCAGGTATTAACCACCCTGATGTGGGTGTCAGGCTGTGGCTCTTCTATCACAGGTGTCAGGTTGGACCTGCCTCCTCCCACCGTCCCTCCAGGACACCACAGCACACAGCAGCCCCACCCCAACCACTGTGCTACATGCTTAGAAACTTCCATAGCATCTGCTGAGATGCCTGGGGCCATGAAGGAGTTGGTTGGGGTGAGACACGGCCGAGTGACAATACTGTGGGCTCTGTGGTCTCTGCACATTTCAGCCCCAGAGCCTATGAACACGGCCTTTCAGACAAAAGCTCTCTACTGGCATAATTATGGATCTCAAGGTGAGATTCATCTCGTATTATCCACTGGCACCTTTCTCAGCTAGGAGATACACGGGACAAGGGGGAGCAGGCCATGTAACCAGAGAGAGGCTAGAGGGATGTGGCCACAGACCCAGGGACCCCTATGACCCTCCCCCATAAGCCACAGAAATAAGATCTTCAGTGGGGGCTCTGGAGGGAGCCCCTTGTACACATTATGACCTTGGACTTGGGGTTCCTAGAATATGACAGAAAGATCATGTGTTGCTTCAAGCCACCCAGTTTTGGTGATCTGGTTGGCAGCCCCAGGACACCCCTGTTTCTGGTCTATGGGAGTTATTGGTGCTTAAGGACAGGCTGCCTAAAAGTTCCAGACACTAACCCGCTGTATGATAAAGGACATGCATGCCTGCAAGACAGACCTCAGGCATGCAACTCTGTACCTGATAGCACTGGAGGGTGTGTAGGTGCTGATAAATAAAGGCCCACAGCACTCACAACACCGCAGAATGAATACAGAGCAGCCAGGGACTTCTGTGTGAGGGACATGGCCTGCAGGGGCCTGCTCATCAGGAGAGAGGTATCTTACCTGTCCCCAGGGTCTCCCTGCTCCTGGGGTGGGGGTGCCCTCACCCACTCAGGGACTTAACCCACCCCCTCAGTTTCACCCGCTCCCGGGGCTCACTCACTTCCCCAGATTGGGATATCTCTGCTCTCCGCCTTCATCACGATGGAGGACATGGTCATGGTGACAGGAATGGCATCGAAGTAGGAGGAGTGTGGTGCCAGCGTGAGGATGGCAGCCTCGGCGGGCAGGGCCTGTCGCCCCTTCACAGCAACACGGTGGAAGCCACCTGCAAACCACATGGTGCGCATGATGGCCTTGAGTAGGAAGTCCACAACCCTGGAAGAGAGATGAGGCATCAGGTGCCTGCCACCACAGAGGCGTGAACAGGTATGGGGACGTGACCCTGGGGCCTTAGCTGCCAGATGGGGAGCTGCGTACCAGAAACCACTGAATATACAGACGCAGTGACAAGAGGCGTGAACAGCCAGGGGTGGGCACACTGTGGCCCCTAGAGGAGGCTGCTGCAGAATGAGTCAGTCTCACTGGCAGTGGACTGACCAGGTGACAAAAAGCACAGAAAAACAGGAGCCCAAAGCCTTGCTGTTGGATCTTCCCAAGGGATCGACTCCCTGAGAGTTTCGGGGAGAGAAGCCCCAGCAGAACCGAGCAGCGGCCAATCACCGGTGGGCACAGAGTCCCTTGAGGAGTCACCTTGGAAAGACCTTTGCTTCCTGGGAGGATAAACAATTGCTGTAGTTAACACCGAGACGCCGGGGACCACTGCACGGTGCTATTTCCAGGGCTGGTGTGACACACAGCTGTGCACTTTTCAGGGTCTCCGGACACTTCTAGATGGACTTGCAATAACAATGCACACAAATGAAGGCCAACGAGCGACTGATGAGGAAGAAATGGGGTGGTGCAGGGTTGGGAATCGACACTGCGGGGAGGCTGCACTGGGGCAGGAGCTCGTCCTGGGAGGGCAAAGGGAAGGGGGAGGGCTACAAAGAACACACCATCAACCCCTGGTTATCCTGGCAGCAATGCCCTCCTGCCCTCAGACAGAAAGGGAGGAACATGTATGGGGAGGTGCTGGGAAAGAGCTGAGTGGAATAGGTGACTTGTCCCCAAAGGTCAACCCACAGCTGGACTCCCAGGCTGCTGGTGCAGAAACTCCCCTTATTGGCTCAGCGAGGGTGAAAAGCCTCCACACCTCTGGTACTGAGGGGCAAGGAGGGAAGGGAGCTCTGGGCAAGGCTGGAGATCAAGTCTGTAAGAAAGTCAAACACAGGAAGGAAAGCTCCAGGAGCACAAAGACAAAGAAAGAACGTGGGACAAACGGTTGCTCAGAGGGAGACCTGGGGTTTCAGCCACACGATGGATAAACAATGTCTGACTCAGAAACTTCCTCCAGGAGTTCATCACAAGGATGAAGAGAAGATTCTGAAGAGAAGCAGGCTGCTCCCACACACAGGTGAACCAGTCTCAAGACACCTCCTTCCGGGTCAAGGAGGTGCTGCACCCATCAATCAGTCAACCAGGAAGGGGAGAACCAATGGTCAACGGCCAACCAAGTCCGAGTGCCTCTAACCAGTCCACTTTCTGGGAAGACAACCTGATACTCTAGAAAGTCTTCAACAAAATAAACAAGGAAAGGAGAAAAAGATCAGGTCTCGGATCGACCCGAGAGAGGCGAGAGGCATTTCAGACAGTGGATGCTGATGCTGCGGTCTGGATGCCCCAGGAAGCGAGCACCACCCATGGGGCAGCCTGACCACAGGGGTGGAGAACTGAGACCACCCTGGGGGCTTGACACTCTTTCTATGACAAGTGAATGAAAGGGAAGTTAAAACTCTGCAAAGGACACAGGCAAAGAAGTATGGGCCAAATACAAAACAGAATGTGGTGTTAAGAACTTAAATCAGAGGGTGTGAAGGCGCTATTGATGACAGAAGGCACACTTTGCCTGGGATTCAGGGACTCCTCTCTGAGAGTAGGGGGCAGGATACTCTGCCCTTCAATCTCCCATTTGGGGGCTTCACCACTACAGGCTAGGTGCTAAGGGCACCCTTGGGATTTGGAACAACAAAAAACCAGAACGTAAGTGGAGACACCGCTGGTGGTGGTGGTGGAGGAGTTCCTTCTATCACTGCCTACCCCTTTCAACTTGATCAGCCACACGCGCATAGTGATGAGGCAGACATGTACCACATGCACCCTAATGAGGACAGGCACTTAAACGTGTGCACATGCTACCAGATGAGATGGAGCGGAATGAAAGAGTCCCGCTCACACCCCACGTCTGAACCTCTGCTCTGCCAGCTCTGCTCCCGGCTCTGAGGACAGAGCCCAACCTTCTAGGGACAGAAGAATTAATGTAACTGGAGCAAGTTCCCAGGAGATGGCAGCTGTGAACAGATTAAGAAAGATAGAAGAGAAACAATGAGGAAAGCTGGGCCAGGAGGGAAAAGCAGTTGTGTGACAAGCTCTGCTGGTGCCTGGGGAGAACCTTCCAGAGAGGTCACAGCCCTGCAAAAGCCCCGAGCACTGGAGAAATGGTAGGGAGCCCCTCTGGCCACATCAGAGGGAAGGGGCGGTAAATGGGAGGAGGGTTGGCGAGTCAGGAAGGTTCACAGATGTCGCAGTTTCATCCTGGGTAACAGAGCAGGTTGATGTGCAAGGCTGGGGATAAGGAGAGCTGTGCTGGGCTTGTACCTGTTCAGGGCCTCTGTGGCCGGACCTGACACAGGTAGGAGCAGCTGAAGTTGTTTATGGAGCAGCAGCGGTGAGCAGAGCGAGAAGGGATGGGGTGAGGGTCAGACCCAGGCATGGTCCGAGAGAGGGGCCAAGGGGTGAGAAGAAAAGTGAAGGTGAGCCCAAGGCTGGCCACTAAGAAGTCTCCACTGATGGAGACAGGAGGCCAAGGCTAGAATAGGTGGGGGAACCTGGGTGCTGTTCCGGATCTCCACTGAGTCAGGTCAACCACAGACTGTGAGGTCCTGGGTCAAGCTGGGGGGAACAGCTGGGACAGAGGCGAAGGCTGAGAGCTGATGGTTTGCCAGCAGTCATTACAGCTAGAATAGCTCAGGTCAGCAGCAGAATCCACAGGGCACGTGGGTGCTGGAGGTGAGGAAGAGGGAAAGTGATCAAGACTGAGTGGGGCAGAGTGGGGTGGGGCCACCTGACCAGAGGTCAGGGGACAGCGTGTCCTGGAGTGGAGAGCTGCGTCCAGCGTGGCTGCAGGCCAAGCAGCCCAAACCCCACAGTCCCTAAGCACTGTTGGTGTGGAGCAGGAGCAAGACCCCAATTTGTCCAAGTTTTTAAGAGAATGGAGACCACAGAATTGGCCCTGGGGAGAGTGGCCTTGACCGCAGAGGGGAGCCTTGAAGGCAGGGAGGGTGAAGCCCATCCATATGGGCCTTGGCTGCTCAACTGGGAGCAGGTCATCCCTGGGGCAGAGAGAGAGAGGGAGAGAGAGAGAGAGAGAGTGTGTGTGTGTGTGTGTGTGTGTGTGTGTGTGGTGACAGGATGCAGACCCTGGGGCACGTGTTGGATGCCTGCTCCTCTGGGGCCACCCCAAGCTGAGATGTGGTAGAAGGAGGTACCAGCTTCCGGGAGAGTGCGGAAAAGAATATGAAGCTCAAGTTCAAGCTTGAACACGGGCACCTGGAGCCACCACGGGGACAGATCCTTCAAACATGGGACAGAGCACAGGAGCACTCAGGAATAAGCTCTTGCTGAGCTGCCTCGTCCACTGAGTGCTAGCAGCTAGAGGGCTGTGACAGCCATACGACCCGGCCACCCACCACTGGACTCGTTTGGAGGGTGGAGAAGCCAGTCCAGGGGGTCGAGTACTACAAAAGGCAGTAGTAGTTTTTTACGACACTTTGTGGTTTGAAAGCAACTTAAAATAAGCATCTTTTGAGAAACTGTGTCATTCACAGAAAGCTTGAGACTTTTATTTTAGGAATGTCTGAATGACTAAAACTTCATTCGGCAAAAATTCCTTTAACATCAATCTGTTCATGACAGCTTTGCTGTGCATGTGATATGTATCCCCAAGAGAATGTGCTGCTGTAGCTCAGCCTGTTATTTTAGACCTTGCTTTTTCCTAATCCCTCGCTACTCTAAGGGACTTTATTACTGTGTTTCCTTTCAGGAATCAGAAGCACCCATGGGATCCCAGGGCCACAAATCCACTGAGTTTCCATAAGTACTAAATGGAAATGTCCAGGGCTAGGTCAGGGCTTCATGTAGCACAGTACAGTACATGCAGGCCCAGTACACATGTGCATGAGGCACACAACACTCTCAACACACATACAGTTATCTACACAGACAGATACACCCATACTCCAACCCATATACACAACTACACTGTCTGTGTATACATACATATATATGCTCACCAAAATGCACACTCCAAAAATACACACATGTCCTCTCATCTGCACACACATTCACAAACACTCCAGCATGTGCACACATGGATACTGTCATCTACAAATATACTCCAACAGGCAAACTCATACCTATACACATACATACTCATTTATGCACACATGTACACACAACTCTAACATATACACCATCTATACATACATCCATGCTTTTGTCTGTATACACATGTATATTCTCATCCATGTACATTTATAGATGCATATACTTCAGCATACACACACTCCAACATGTGTACACACACTTTCGGATACACATGTACACACAGGCAAACACATATTCTTTCTTACTCAGAATGACATTTAACCTCAGCCATGTAAAGCTCTGGGGAATCATGGCCATAAGAAATTGCAGTCTCTTACTAATTGTACAAATAATGTGGACACAGAAGCATGGGGCACGGCCATCAGAAGTAGTCTGCTGTGGCCCTTTGGACCTTGAAGCCCCAGAGGGAGAGAGGCAGGTGCACACTGGACAAACAGTAACACTGACAATGAGCCAGGCTGTACACACACTCACGCACGCGCACACACACCCAGGAACCACTTACTTCCTCCACAAGGCTAGGGGCTGCTCTGGCTCCTTTTCAGGAGGTCCCAGGGAGGCCACGAGTGCAAAGGGCCAGGCCAGCAGCATCATGAAGGCAGCAAACAGGAGCCGGATGGGAAACAGTGTCAGTGTCATGAAGGCCACCTGGGAAAAGAGAAGGTGTCATTTTGGAAGCATCCTTGCCCGAGGACATGCTGGAGCTGCTTGGCCCGTGCAGTCCTGCAGAGCCAAGCCACAGCTGGCCAACTCACAGTCAGCACCATGGACCCCCACTTCTCCTGTCTAGACGCTTGTGAAATATCTTGGGCTATAAAGCAAAGCTTGCTCTGCACATCCAGCTCTGCTCTGACACTGACAAGCACATCTAGGACAGAGCCCAGCACCCAAAGCCAGAGCCCAGACACCCAAGGCCGGAGGCCAGTATCCCAAGGCTTAATCCCAGGCTCCCAAGCCTTGCTCATCACATCATTCAGTCCTTCCATCTTGCCTTGAAATTATTCACATGGGGCTGGGGAGATAGCTCAGTTCATAAAGTGGTTGTTGGGCAAGGCTAAGGATCGGAGTTGAACCTCCAGAATACACATAAAAAAGCTGTATTTCCAGCACCGGGAAGGTGGAGACAGGCAGATCCCTGGGGCTTGTTGGCCAGCCAGCCTAGCCTACTCGGTGAGTTCCAGGCCAGTGAGAGACCTTGTCTCAAAATACAAGGTGAATGGTACCTGAGATCTGAGGTTCACCTCTGGCCTCTACATGCACGCACACACACATGGGCAACCCCCCTCCCCCCACCAAAGTTGCTGATGTGGACAGAGGTCAAATTCGTAACCTCAAACAGTACCCATGAAGCAGTGAGGCGGTGAGGAGGCTGGAGTGGAGTAAGGCCAGAGTCGTGCAGAGGTGTGGCTCGCTAACCAAGAAATGGGGCAGCAGGAGGCCACAGGACCAGGTTGCTGCCTGCAGCTCTGTGTTTGGAAGACATAGAGGCCGCTGGGTGGGGTGGGGCCAAATGCTGCATTGAATGGGAGACTTTCTCACAGCCGTAGAGATCAGTGTGTGTGTCAGAGTGGTCGAGCCACACTCCCACATTTTAAAGGCTCAAGAGTAGTCACGTGTGGCCTGCGGACAAGGCATACTCAGGTTCTAATCTACTGCAGCATGGGGGTCCATTGATCAGGGCAAGGATGCCATGTGCCATCTTATAGCTACTGACGACACCCCTGTCCCCAGAAGCCTGCTGTGGGCTGTCAGGAGACATCTCTGGGGGTGAGAGCATCATCAGCTGTCTCTCCTGCATCTATTGGGACATCATGCTTGTTCTTGTGTCAATGTTGAGTGGCCATGGTTCCTCTCAAGTCAGATTCTTACTTGTGGTGCTGCAAGGCACCTGCTGGGGCCTGTGCTGGAGGTGCTGGGCCTGCATCTGGGTCCACTCCTCACTGGCTTCCAGGTAAGGTACCTATGATCCCCTGCTGTCCCCTGGTTCGCCTCCAACTGTCACTTCCTGCTGGTGCATTTCTAGCTGCCTGAGGCGTCAGTGTTTCTAGAGTCCCTGCTCTGTGGATTGCTTTTTCTGGGGTTAATCTTGCTTTTCCTGTAGTTCTTTTTGAAATCCTCGGGTGTCATGGCCATGGCCATGTGTTCCCGTTTTCAGAGCTGGCGGACACCTTGGCTGAAGTTTGGCTTTTTTTTTTTTTTTTTCAGTCTTTTTTGAGACAGGGTCTCCCTGCAGCCCCAGCTGTCCTAGAACTCACTATGTAGACCAGTCCGCCTGCCTCTGCTTCCCAAGTGCTGGGATTAAAGGCATGCGCCACCACGCCCGGCCCTGAAGTTTGGCTTTTACTTCCCACGGTCAACTGTGATTCAAGAACATTAAGTGGAAAAAGAAATAATTCCTAGGTTTTAAACTGAGGAAATTTTGTGTCATCGTGCTTAGAACTAACCAGGACTTGTGAGCCATGACGACGCACTCTGACCCTTGGCTCACAGAGGGGGCGCAAGTGTGGGGGATGGGGGAGACGTAACACGTCAGGAAAGCCGCCTATGGTGAACCGTGCTGGCTGGCTTGAGGGAGGAAGGGGCGCTCTCTGCAGCATGTGGGGAGGATGTGAGCTGAGGAGGCAGTCTGGCTATAGCGTATGTGTAGCAGGGTGCTGTGGAGCTGGAGAGGCCGCCCTCTGCAGTGCTGTGCAGCATGTAGAGGAGGGTTGCAGGGCAAGGTGTGTCAGGACCACCTACAGGGCTTCTGCTGAAAGACTTCCACCCTGGCCCAGCACTGGCCTTCCAGCTTTCTGCCAGGCATGCCCCTGCTCCAGGAACCCTCTGCAGGCAGGCAGAACAGGACTGGAGGGGCCTGCCACAGTCCTTCTAGAACCTTCTAAGCACACCCTCCTGTACCTTCTGCCCACTAGACCTCTCCAGAGGCTCTATCACCTGTGTACAGACTCAGCTTGACCACTGGTAACCCCTTACTGCCCACACCTTGGTGCAAACTGGTTTGAACAGACTAGTGAACCACAGGCCACAGAAGGGGCCACAATTCTAAGCCACTGCAGAGGGAGACAGCTGGCCAGGAAGCTATGACACTGGGATGGCTGAGCCTGGTGGTGGGGTGGGGGAAGCAAAGCTCTAGGCAGCCACCAGAGTCGTCCTCAGAAAATCGAGGCTACACTGAAGTCTAGTGTGTGAGGACTTTCCAGGCATCTTGCTTTCCAGGTGTGGGCAGTCGCCAGGAGGGCAGAGGCCTCTCCCAAGGCCTGCAGACATCTCCTCTAACTGCTGCACATGGAATCAACAGCTCTGACCTCGTCAAGACTACAGGGTGCCAGAGGCACACTGGGAAAGAGTCAGGAGTCCATTCTACATGCCCACAAGGCCCAGTGCCATGCTGGATACCAACTTGTACACATGTACAGTAAGGCCTCCAGAGCTTGCTTCCACCAAAGCTGGATGAGCTGGCCAAGGGCACGGGCTACAGGACAGATGAAGGAAGGAGGGACAGAGAGCGGAGGTCCCAGCCATGCTCCCAGGTGGCATCAGGGGGAGGCTCAAGGCTTCAGCTCCACGAGAGTTTCACTAATTCGGGGACCCGCAGCCTGGTCTTCCTGGGACCAGCTTCAGACAGTGGAAACCCTACTTCACTGTAAGGAGTCACAACATGTCAGGTTGAGCAACTTAAACAGTCATCCTGCCTATGACCTAGAAGGGAGTGTTTTTAACACAAGTCAGCAAGGTACTTCACTGGCCTGAGGCCGTGTTAGCTTAAACTGTCTACTCAAAGTTGACTTTGATAAACCGGTCCATTAAGAGATATAGCTCAGACAGATGGGCATTCTCACACACAGTCCCTCAAGGCATTAAAAAAGATAGTCTGAACTATGTCTAGAAGGTTTCCTTGGGAGGGGTCTAGGCTGTGACCCATTCACACACAAGGACTCTTGTCCAACCATAGCCTCTTCATGCCAGTAAGTCAGGACCTGGGTCTTGTGAGGTTGGGTGAGCCCCAGCACCTGGTGTATCGAAAACGTGGAGGCAGTTCAAAGTGGCAGGACTCAGGAGCCCACAGGCCAGGACAGAGGTCGATGCAGCAACGGGGCCAAGTGCAAGAAGGGCTGGAGCACGAGGCACTCAAGAACACCTGTCCATAAGCACATGTACACACGTGCTCACACTGACACAGACAGATACACATCTACACACCCACTGACACAAATACACATGTACTATACATAGATACACATGAACCAAATATAAATGTGGGCACTCAACATGAAGTCATACATGAACACACAGTCATACACACTGAACACATACACATTCACACATGGTTACACATGTATACACTGATGCATTCATTTATCAACACACACAATGTGGGCATATATTCACATACACTGCACACATGCTCACACATTCACAAATGGACACACATTCACTCACAGACACACATTCACACATGGTTACATATGTACACACTGATGCATACACCAATATACTAACGTGGGCACATTCACATACACACTGAATAAATGGACACATTCCCAAATGGACACATATACACACGGTTATACATGTACACACATTTACACACATACTGACAACATGGACACACATTCATACATGAACACACACATATTGAACACAACACACATTCATACACAGACACACACACACAAACCCTAAACACATGGACACATACATACCCTACTCTTATCACTGGCCATGGTAGATATCCCCAAAGTAATTCTTGAGTATGAAGCTGGTCGCAGCTGGGGACACTGAGACCTAGGTCACCCCTTCTCCAGGGACTGTCCCCTAGGCAGTCTCCCACGGACACAGGCCTGGACGAAAGGGAGACAAGCGGGCTTTTGGATCCAGGGAGAAGCCAGCATGACCACCCAGAGACTTGCTGTGGGATCAGCCCTGATAGACCCGAGAGAGAGAGAGAGAGAGAGAGAGAGAGAGAGAGAGAGAGAGAGAGAACTTTTTAGCAAGCTGGCTTCTCCACAACAAAACCCAAAATAATAACAATAATGCTGATAGTAAAAACAATAACAATGAATGAAAAGAGTAAAATTTTTTAATTAAATTACTT